GGGGCCCCAGAAGGGTCACAGAGCATGTAACCACCTGCAGCTTGGCAAGCCAGCCGGGAACATGACACATCCTTTTTAATACCCACTGTTCAGCAGGTCCTGAGTTCTTGTTCCATGTCCAGGAAGAATAAGGTTACATGAACAACTGGAGGGGGAGCAAGTCAGAGAAGAATTTTACTGAATGACAGAAGAGCTGTCAGTGAAGAGGAGACCCAGAGTGGGTAGCTCCTATTTTCAGGCATGTAGTCCTGACATATGTCTGAGTCCAGCTGAGTCTGAGGTTTTTATGTACTCAGAATGGAAGAAATGCATACTGATTAATCCATGGGTGGGCCCCAAAAAGGCACCATATTATTGGCCTAAAGGCATCAAGAAATTTCTCACTCTGGGCAATGGACTCCATGCAGAAATGGTAGCCCAATTTTCAGGCTTCAAGCTGTTTCTGTCCTGAAGGTTGGGTTTCACTGTGGACCCACCTCTATCTGCCAAGGAATTTGCCTGCCTCCTGCTGCTATCAATCACCCCTCTGAAGAGGTATGTCTCACTGCCATTATAATAGGAACAGTGACTGCTCCCAGTTGCTTCATGCTGACAGGAAGCATTGCTTTGGGGAAAAGAGCAGGCAGATCTCTCTCAGAGGCCTATGTAAGGGTCCCTGGTAAAAAAGGATTCATTGTCCAAGGCTCCACTTGTATGACCATTTGGAGTTTCACTGCATCTAGGCAAGTAGAAACAAATTTTACAGAGGTTAAGTGTGTATGGACCAAATATGAGTATTATACAAAGAGGAGCTAAAAGAAAAAAATCTAGTGCCAAAGAAAGATAACAGAAATAAGAAGTAATGTAGACTAATTGTTCCAAAAACAATGTTGTGGCTAAAGATGTTTTACCCTGGTGAAAAAAAGCCTAAATATTGTATAGGGAGCAGTTGAACTTTAGAAGAGAAATAACTATTTAGGGGAGTAGATAATACCTTGGAAGTTCAAGATCAAGGGGTCTTTGAAAAAGACACCTTATGGTGAGGACCCAAACAAAGGCAAGAATAGCAAGCATAGTTGAGACTATAAAGAGGATATTTATGGAAGGCTAATTACTGGCACTAATCTTTTGTGATTTTTAGCTTAAGATCTTTGATTTCATCACACTGGCATTGTGGGTGCTCTTCTGGGTTAAAAGAGGTAATTCAGTCTGTTTCCTAGGCCTGTCCTCAAGTATAATGAATCCAAGAGTCTATTCCAGTGATCTTTACTGCCATAGGAGTAGGCAGAAGTACAGTATAAGGTCCTTCCAACATCAAGCCTAGAGTGGAAGAAAGGGAAGGAAGTGTCTTTACCAGTCCTAAGTCCCCTGGGTTGAACAGAGAAGGCCTTATTCATGGGATTGGGCCTCTAACAGTGTTTTGGTTCCTGTAGGCAAGTGGGCCAAAGAAGTTACATGTTTAATCAAATCAGAGATTTCTTTGTCTGGCAAGCCACGATTGGTGAGAAAAGGTCATCCATACACCATTTTGAAGAGGCTTAAACCCAGCTTTAAAGTGGAGTTTCTAACACATAGTAAGGCTATGTGAAGAATAATCCGAGGAAGATTAGTCTCTTGAGACAGTTTTCTGATATTATCATTTATCTTTTCTACTTTTCCTGAAGACTGTGGTCACCAAGCACAGAGAAGACAGTGTTGTATACCTAGTGTCTTTGAGCCTCCCACAATCTCTGCTCATGCCCAGTTGACAGCTACCTTGAATGAGGAGCCATTATTAGTCTAGAGGTACTGAGGAAATCCAAAGTAAGGGATTATCTCATTAATTAATACTTTTCTCACCTCAGAGGCTTTCTCTGTCCAACATGGAAATGTTTCTACCCAGTTAGGGAAGGTATCTACTCATACTAGGAGGTACTGGAGTCCCCTTTCATTGGTGTATGATTGAAACCCATTTTGCCAGTCTTTCTGTGGGTAGCCTCACAGTCTTTGGGCTCCAAGGGAAGAAGCCATCAATTGAGGGGATTATTTTTAAGACAAGTCTTGCAAGCATTAACAACCTATTTGACCATTTTTAGCAGATTTTTACCTGAGAACAACCTTTGGGCTAATTGATAGGTTTTATCTTGACCCAGGTAGAAGCCTTGGTTAAGGGTTTTATGAACTTTTCATTGGCTGGAAGCTGGTAGATAAAGTTTGCCATTCTCCGATTGCACCCATCCTGAGGACCAAAAGGTATATCTCTAAGAGGAGTCCCATTCTATCTCCACAGAGGAATACTGAGGTTTTCTTTCTTTTTTGGAACCCTCTCAGATCAGAGGGGCCACAAGTGGATAGGTAATCTGGGGCCCTCTCACTGCTGATTTAGCTGCTTCGTCTGCCAACTTATTTCCCTCAGCTATTTCGTTCATCCCCTTTTGCTGACCTTTTCAGTGTATTTCTGCCACTTCCCATAAAAGGAAAACCAAGGATAATAGTCTGTTAATTTTCTGATGGTATTTAATGGGAGATCCATAGGCTGTGAGGAAGTCCCTCTTTTCAGGTAGTGGCATGGGCACTGGGGACTGGGAAAGCATACTTAGAATCAGTAAAAATGTTAACTGCTTTCCCCTTGCTTAATTCAAGTGCCCCCTTGAGGGCAATTAGCTCAGCTAGTTGAGAGCTTGTGCCCAAAGAGAGAGGCATGCTCTCAACAATGCCATTCAGGGTGATTGCTGCATACCCTGCTTTACAGATCCCTTGCTCTACAAAGGAACTTCTATCCATAAAGAGAGTTCAGTGTGGGTTCTCTAAGGGGGTTTCCTTGAGGGCCTCTCTGTCTGTGTAGGTTTGTGCTATTATATGTTAGCAGTCCTGTTTAAGCTCCCCAGCTTTCTCTGGGAAGAAGGTGGGTAGGTTCAGGGAGAAACACATTCTTAACTGGACTGCAATTCCCTCTAATAGTAGAGTTTACTATTTGAGAAAGCAATTGTTCATAAACCAGAGACTTCCCTTAGAAGACAGCAGCCCTGCCACATTATGTGGGGTATGAATGGTTAAGTTATTTCCCTTAGTAACCTCTGGTACCTTCAAGTTTACCGCTGAAACTGCCTAGAGGCAGGCTGACCATACTTTAGCTGCCAAATCAAGCTCCTTGCTTAGGTAGCCTACAGGCTGCTGGGCTTGACCTTGGGCCTGGGTTAGAACACCCAGGGCCATTCTCTTCCTTTCTAATACATGAAGATTGAACATCTCCCCTATGGGAAGACTAAATACAGGTGCCTTTAGCAAGGCTTGTTTTCATTGGTCTATGAAAGGAGAATATATCTTGGGGCCCCAAAATTACTAAGCTAAAGGTGAAAGTCAAGCTGGGAACTGCTCAGGGAAAACTGCCTCCCATTCTATTCAAAATCAACCCTTTACCCGCTAAGATAAATGCATATCTGATTGCCTCTTTTGGAGAGGCAAATCAGAAACTCAAAGGAATACATCCATTTGTCTCTTAACTACCTGTAACCTGAAAGCCCCCTCCCCACTTTGAGGTATTCTGCCTTTGCTTCAAGTTGCCCACCTCTCCAGACTGAACTATCTTACATATGTTGATTGATGTCTCATATCTCCCTAAGATGTATAAAGCCAAACTGCTCTGAACACCTTGGGGACATGTGATCAGGACTTCCTGAGGCTGTGTCATGGGTGCATGTCCTCAACCTTGGCAAAATAAACTTTCTAAATTAACTGAGACCTGTCTCAGATATTCGGTGTTCACAGGGCAAAGGTTCTTTTAACCTCCTCTTCTGAAATCAAGGAGTGGGTCTTAGCTACCTGAGTTTCCTATATTAGGTGATATAAGTGATAAGCTGTTTCACCATATCTAGGTATACATAGTCTGTAGAATCCTGTAATGCACAATGATCTCCTCAGCTGATTGAGGGTTTGGAGGATGGGGAAGGGAGGAGATAGACCTAATCCTTTCTTCACCTAGCATCCTCATCTCCTTTGATAAGACTAGACCTCAGAACTTCACTGAAGTCTGACAGAGCTGAGCCTGAGATTTCGAGACGTTATATCTTCTGTTAGCCAGAAAATTAGGAAGGGTCTTACTGCCCTCCTTAGAGATTTTCTCAGTTAAGGAACAGAAGGTAATGTTATCTACATGTTGTAAAGCTTTAACCTGAGGATAAAGGAACTCAGAGAGGCCACTGGACAACACCTTCCCAAACAGGTGGAGGCTGTCTGAGAACTCTTGAGGTGACACCATCCAGGTTAGCTGGGTGGTTTTGTTGGAAGAATCCTCAAATGCAAACAAATGTTGAGAGTTAGGCTATAATGGTATGCAGAAAAAAAGGCATCCTTTAGGTTCAGGACTGTGAACCATTTAGTTCCCTGAGGATACAGGGATTCGGAATCACTGGAAGAATTGAAACCACAGCCTCATTAATAAGGCAGAGGTCCTGGACCAGTCTCCTTTCCATTCCCTGTTGGGTTTCTGTACCCCCAACATCGCGGTATTACAAGGACTGTTGCAGAGTTTGAGGAGGCCCTGCATTCTCAAGTTATCAATGATGGCTTCTAGACCTTTCCTAATTTCTGGTTTTAGAGGATATTTTCTCTGGTTAGGGAGGGAGGTAAGATCCTTAAGGTGGATCCTGACCTGTGTGGAGGAGGATCAACTGATTTAATGATAACTCCTTGATTTTTGGTCCATCTAAGAGCATATGCCTTTTATTGTGAAAAATACTGGAAGAGAATTGACTGTGGAATATAAAGGGGACAGATCATGATCTCTATTATTGACTAGTCACTTTGGAGACATTTACAGGTACGTAAGTTGTGAAATTAAGAGGACAGTGGAAATACGAATGTGAGGCTTGAGAAAGAAAGTTCAGCTGAAGATAATATTGCAGATATTTAATTATATGTAGAAATTATATTGTGGGCTTAAAGACACTGCTTTGTTTGAGAGAAGTGAAGAGTTAAAGGTCTAGCACTAGGAGATTGTACAGAGGACAACTTCTCTATAAATGCGATACTGAATAACTAGAATGAAAGGGGAAGTATCACAGAGAGCAAGGTAAGAGTGGGTTTAAAGAAGGAAGGAGTGGCCTCTATTCAGTTCTACTGCCATGTCACATGAAAGAGAAAATTCTAAAACATTCCTTTCGGTTAACTTTTCAAAGGACTGTTTTAATTAGTGAGGGAATAAATCAGTCTTTGTTGGAGTAGCCTACTAAGTATGTATGTAAAAAACACACAAATAAAGACTGTTATTGAGAAATGTGGCTGAAAAGGCATAAATAAAAATCAGGGAGGTATAAAAGAAAGAGTTATGCTACATAGTGTTTTTTTATTAGCTTATTTGTTGTTGTTTTTTGTTTGTATTTAATGTGAGATTCTCTAACATATTTAAAATAATAATAATTATAATTGTTTTCAAACTTAGCCAGTCTAACATTAAACACTTTAATTACTGCACTATACTACTATTTTAGGAGTCAGGTATTAAGGTTATCAAAATCACGAGGAAAATCAAACAGGTAGTATTACATCTGGACTTGGAAAAGTGTTAAATTACCGAGGAAAGAAGGAAAAAGACTTGGTGGCAAGGTTTTTGATACAATATTTGGAGACTCAGGAGATGACTGCTCTAATGGCAGTTTCTTTTCCTACAGTTAGAAGATTTAAGACAGAGGAAATAAAATGAACATTATTAGTTCCAAATCTTAAATACCCAAGCTAAAGGTCCAAAGATGGGGGTGATAGAAGGATTCCTGTAGTTAAGACAGCTGTCAAACCCGTCTTAATGAAACCTTACAATCTTGGTGTAATTCTGCGACAGAAACGTGCTTAGAAGCTGCCAGATCTCAGTTCACCTGATGGCGTCACTGCTCTTGCAAAGGTCAATAAATAGTGTGTGGAGCTCTTGCTGCTTCTCCTTGTCCTTCTCTTGTGCTTGGGGTGGCAGCCAAAATGATTCAAACAGCTCTCACAAATTTAAACTCAAATCGTAGAAACTATCTTAGACTAACGTATGCCTGGACTTGGGTATTTAAAGTGACTCCTACACATTAAACTATAAATTTAAAATAAAAAATAGTTTAATGTGTAAGTTTTCTTTAAATATGTTTTCAAATATTTCATGTTTATGAAAAAAATTTAAAGCAACATTTAAAGGATCAAAAATTAAAACTCATATTTCCACCAAAAATTAAAACCCATATTTCTACCATCTAATTATATTGAAAATATATGTATGAAAAATTCTACTCTTTATTTTAGGTAATCATATTCACAATATTTAGAAAACATAAATTTTGTATCTTTAAATTTTTATAAATATGAAATACATATTTATATTTCACCAATTATCATTCTCCTTATACTTTCAATATAAACACTGATAATATTTTGAAGCATTCTACTAGAATTTTCTGGAAACATTACAAACATTATAAAGCATAATGCTTAAAAACATGGGTTTGGTATCAAAAGAAGTTTTGCTTTTATATTTGATGTTGTCCTTTACACTAAAGTACTATTAGAAATGTTATTTTTTTCTCTCAATGCCTCACTTTATATAGTGCAGAGATGAAGACAACTTTCTTGTGTGCGTTATGAGAAGAAAAACTAACTTGTTATTCTCTTGCTAAAGGCTTAACGTCATTATCTTTGATTTTTGTCAATTTTGTATAAAATAAGTATCTCATTTTAATTTGCATGTATTTGCCTGCCAGTTAAGTATAGTGTTTATGGTCTAGACATTTGATATTTAAATCTAATTTTCTGAATTAGTTATGCATGTTATCTAACATTTTTATTTTAGGAAGTTTGTCTTCAAATTTTTAAAATTATTTATTCATAGTCTATAAAAATTAATGCTGTATCTGTCATTTACATTTCTATTGTTTACCAAGTGTGGTTTGCAAAATATTATATGTAATGTTTATATTTATAAATAACACATATAGTGTCTGTATGTATAATTTATTTTTTTGGCCAAGTTCATGATACTAATAAATCATATTAATAATCTAATTTTATTGATTGATTTGTAAATTTCATAATTTTTAGACTTAAAAAATTTATTATAACTAGATATCTAACTTTATTAGCTTTCATTTAGATGAGCTATTGATGCAGAAATTTTTTGTTGAAAATACAACAAAGATTTAAGAGTTTTCTTTATTAACTAAATACTAAAATATACTATGATCTATTTCTTTTTATTATTTTTTCATGTGTATTATAGTTTATTATATCTTTGCATATACTTTCTTCTCTGGCAAGCCTTTTTTTATTACACTCTTTTTTCTCATATTGTTTGATATATACTTTTGTATATATCAAAAGTATATAATCAAGTCCATTTATTCTGTACTTGAAAATCATTTGTGAAATTCGGGATGAAAATATCCTTTGGGAAACCTGAATTGACTTGGTCTTAATTTATCAAGTAAGTTGGAAATACTTAAACTTTCTATAAAATGTGTTTTTCAGTTAGTAACATGCTAAAAAAAACCTTTTCATTTATTTATATTTTTGAAAGTTTCCCTAGATAAAATTTTGCAGTCTTTTTCAAAGTGATACGTTATATTTCTTGGTAGGTTTATATTTGTTTATTTTATTATAGATGCTGTTTTGTGAGCATTTTTCCCTTCTATTTTCTAGTTGTTTAATTTTTTTCTACCAGGGGTTGTAACAGAAAGCTGTGTAGGGTAGGGGATAGGAGTATAAACTACTCAGACCTCAGACTAAACTCAAATCTTGGTTATCCAGCTTTTCATTCAGGCAAAAATAACATAATCTCTAAGTATAATTTAACTCATCTGTAAAATTATGGTAATATAGTAATAATCACCTCATTAAATTGTGCTATGAATTAGATGAGTTTATATCATGCAAAGGAGTTAGAAAATTACGTATCTTCTATGAAGGACTCAATAGAAGTTGAAAAATATACAGGAAAAGCTTTCTATTATTGTATGTGTATTTTCTTACTGGATTACTTGATGATTTTTTTTTAGCTATAAGGTTTTTAAAAATTCACTCATGTTTAATAAATATTTCTATCTATATATAATGTTCTTATTTCTGTTTCCAACGGTTATACTTTTATTTCTGATATTTACAGAGCACTGTTTGTCTCTAGAGGTTTCATAGAATTCAATATTTGCTAGTTTTAATAGTTCCCTTACTTCTTTCCTTCTTTTCTTCCTTCCTCCCTTCCTCCCTCCCTCCCTCCCTCCCTCCCTCCCTTCCTTCCTTCCTTTCTTCCTTCCTTCTGTCTTTCTTTCTTTCCTCTTTTTAGAAGAAGATATAGAGTCTTACTGTGTTGCCCAGGCTGATCTCAAAACCCTGGGCTCAATCAATCTTCTTGCCTCAGTCTCCCAAACCAAAATGCTGGGATTACAGACATAAGCAACCATGCTCAGCCTTAATAGTGCTTTTCCAATTGGAGTCCTAGAAGGAAAAAAAAAACAAACATGAAAACTCAAATTGAGTATTGGCAAAGATTAATTCAGAGACTACTCACAAATAGATAGATGAGGTATAGCTAAACAAGATACAGTGAAATATCAAGACTAGTAAGAATGGAGTACTTATATACTGTCATTACTATTACTACTACTAAGGATAAAAGTGCCGGCACAGTTACTTGGACCTGGAGACAGAAAGAGTTATGTTGAGAAATGCAATCAGACTAGAATAACTGTGAAAAGAGGAAACCAAAGTAATATATACCCGAACTTTACTCTTCCCTCCTCTAGAAATTCTGCTGGTATTGACCTTTGTATAAAACCATGAGGAAGCCTGAAGATAAAGAAGTCCTTGATATTGTTCATTTGGCTTGGCTTAAAGGACACAGAGCAAAGGGTGTCTTTGAGGAGACAGTGAAAGTTAACCAGTTGAGGGCATCATTGTCATATCCTGATATTCTTTTGTACATTCTACATTTTCATAGATAAGCATGATATTAAAATAAAGGTCGGTGGGGCCAGCCGCGACTGGCCGCTCGCATGCCCTTGGGCCAGGGCAGGGCACCTGCTGTTCCTTTCGCTTGCTGTGTGAGCTGAGCCGGTGTAGGTGCGGCAATAACATGTCAGCCCAGCTGCCCGCCGTCGTCCCCGCCGCCCAGAAGGCCACCGCCGCGGTGATTTTCCTTCACAGATTGGGAGATACTGGGCACGGATGGGCAGAAGCCTTTGCAGGTATCAGAAGTTCACATATCAAATATATCTGCCCGCATGCGCCTGTTTTGCCTGTTACACTGAATATGAACATGGCTATGCCTTTACGGTTTGATATTATTGGGCTTTCACCAGATTCACAGGAAGATGAACCTGGGATTAAACAGGCTGCAGAAAACATAAAAGCTTTGATTGATCAAGAAGTGAAGAATGGCATTCCTTCAAACAGAATTATTTTGGGAGGATTTTCTCAGGGAGGAGCTTTATCTTTATATACTGCCCTTACCACGCAGCAGAAACTGGAGGGTGTCACTGCACTCAGTTGCTGGATTCCACTTCGGGCGTCATTTCCACAGGGACCTCTCAGTGGCGTCAATAGAGATACTTCTATTCTTCAGTGCCACGGAGATTGTGACCCTTTAGTTCCCCTGATGTTTGGTTCTCTTACGGTTGAAAAACTAAAAACATTGGTGAATCCAGCCAATGTGGACTTTAAAACCTATGAAGGTATGATGCACAGTTCGTGTCAACAGGAAATGATGGATGTCAAGCAATTCATTGATAAAGTCCTACCTCCAATTGATTGACTCACTAAGAGGCCTTGTGTAGAAGTACACCAGCATCATTGTAGTAGAGAACAGACCTTTTCCCATGCCCAGTCTTCAAATTTCTAATGTTTGCAGTGTTAAAATGTTTTGCAAATACACCCTAGTGACACAGATCAGATAATGTCTCCTCATGAGAAATGTATGATCTTTTAAGTTTCTATACATGTATTCTCATAAGAAGATTCAGGATATACCATATTAAAGTAGATGAAGCAGGTAGCTTCTTTTTTCTCAAATATAAGTCAGCAAAATAATATAGTACTGCCACCAGATTTTTTATTACATCATTTGAAAATTAGCAGTATGCCTAATGAAAATTTGTTCAGGTATAAATGAGCAGTTAAGATATAAACAGTTATGCATGCTGTGACTTAGTCTATGGATTTATTCCAAAATTGCTTAGTCACCATGCAGTGTCTGTATTTTATATATGTATTCATATATACATTATGATTGTAATACATAAGAATGAGGTGGTATTATGTTATTCCTAATAATAGGGATAATGCTGTTCATTGTCAAGAAAGAGTAAATTGTTCTCTTCAATAAATGGCCCTTTTATTTTGGGACCAGGTTTTTCTTTTCCCCGATATTATTTCTATTTAATATTCTTTACTCTTCAGAAAAAAAAAATTCATTCTTTCTTTTTTATCCTTCATAGCAGACCAAATATAGCCTCTCTGCCATAGACAGCTACTGTCAATACATACTGTAATTTGACATTTTGAGTCACCGATATAAGGTATTTAAAATCTATTTTTGCTTTATAGAGAAACCAGACATTAAAACTTCATGCACTACTTATTTCAAATTATTATACCTTATCCAAATTTATACCTATTTAGTTATTAGGATCTTCAACCCAGGTAACAGGAATAATTCTGTGGATTTATTTTTCTGTAAACAACTGAAAGAATTAGATCATATTCTAGTATGTTCTGAAATTTTTTTTTTGAGACGGAATCTTGCTCTGTAACCCAGGCTTGAGTGCAGTGGCATGATCTCGGCTCACTGCAACTTCTGCCTCCCCCGTCTTGATTCAAGCAATTCTCCTGCCTCAGCCTCCCAACCAGCTGAGATTACAGGCATACACCACCATGCCCAGCTAATTTTTGTATTTTTAGTAGAGACAGGGTTTCACCATGTTGGCCAGGCTGGTCTTGAACTCCTGACCTCGTGATCTGCCCAAGAACCTTGGCTTCCCAACTTGCTGGGATTACAGATGTGAGCCACCGCGCCTGGCCATGTTCTAAAATATGTTTAAGACTGGTCTTGAAAACTAATTTCTAAGATGATTTCATCTCCTCATAGCATAGAGTTTACTTTATACACATGTTTGAAACCAACTGCTATAGAAGATGAGGAGTCTATTGTAATTTTTGGCTTTATTTTCATCTGCCAGTGGGCTTATTTGAAATTTTCACTTTAGTCAAATTATTTTTTGTATTTTTTGTCCAAACATAAAAATAGCAATCATTTTAAATTGTCAAAATTTCCAGATTACTGGTAAAAAAGTATTTGAAAACAAACTTAATGAGTAATAAAGGCTAGTCAGAGCCCTATGCATAAAGTATAGTTACCAGATTAATATGTAGCAAAAATGTATGCTTAATATTTCTGAACTCTGTTAATTTTTCTGCTGTATTCCAGCTGACCAAAACAATGTTAAGAATGCATCTTTATAAATGGGTGCTAATCAGTAATGGAAATAATTTAGTAATGGACTATATAGAATGTTAATAATGAAGCCATATGTTTATGTCTGGATTTAAACATTTTAAGCAATCATTTACTATGTCATTTTTTCTTTACCTTGAAGAACATAAATGGTTGTTTTAGTTCTAAATATCAGCAAGATATTATTTATGGCAAGAAATATTCCGTTGAATTGTTGTGCAGTAACATGGGAAAATATAAATGTTTTTCATGGTTTCTATCAATGTGAAATAAAATTTAGTTCTGACTTTTCTCTGAAAAAAAAAAGATAAAGATTCTCTATCACTTAAAGGAGCTTGTGAATTGTTATTATTAATTGTTACTAATTAACTATTAATTGATCAGGAATCGATGTTCACATTTTTCCAGTTTCTTTGGGCTTATTCATTAATTTATGCCTCTTTTGAGGGCAAATTACACACCAAGCCCTTAACAGGTTCTCAATTTATATTAGAAATTAATTCAGAATTAGTTCCTGCTTTCATGAAACCTATGGAACTATGATAAGGCAGATGAAATAAGGTTAAAAAAATCAAACCAATACATAAATTATTTTAAAATGCAAAGTCCTACAAATAAAATTTAAAAATGTGTTGCAGTGGAGAATGATTTTGCTAGAGAGTCAAGGAGGAGAGGAAGTGGCAAGTCTTCATTAAAGAGCACTTTTAAGCTGAGACCTATGAGATGATTTAACAACAAAAACTGCTGGCATAAGAACTGAAAAAAAAAGCATTTGAGAAATGTTATGCCAAAGGCTTTCAGGTAGGGAAAGATTTAAGGGTGCAATCTGAAAAGTGAATGACATAAAATTGTGCTCTAATCTACCAGTCCAGAAAAGAGAAGCTAAATTTGACTGGATAACTGAGGTCTAATCATGCGTACCGCAGAGCTAAGAAAATTAGATTTTATTCTACAAGCCATGGAAAACCATTAGCTCTTTATTTCTTCAAAACCTTATATACATTTACTCAGGAAATAAAATTTAGCATTTTCTTTAAAATATATCTAGTACCAAACCATATTTATGACTGCAAATGTTACTATCTTCTTCCCAGACAATATGATCTCAACAGCTTCCTCACTGCCCTGACATTCACTTACACTTATACTATCCTCCAAGCAGCAGTCAGGAACATCCCCCTAAGAGTAGGAGGAAGAGTAATAGTAGTTTAAACCACAGTTCTCACTGTTCAAAAGTTTAGACTCTATAAGAATCTAAGGGTTTAGATAAACAAGATGGGTGAGCAATTGCTTATTTTTTGCCCTTAAAGTTGAGATTGTGATTATTTCATAAAATTAACTGGTACATGTTTTTCCCTCAGTGTTGTTGAAATATTTAAATGAGTAGATATTATTTGCTCTTTAAAAGTTCAGGTTCACTAAAAAATAAGCCGTACAGTTTTGAAGGATTATTTGAAGCTTAGTGATATCTCTGTGTCCCCGCCCAAATCTCATTTTGAATTATAATCTGAATTGTAATCCCATGTGTTAGCAGTGGGATGTCATGGGAGGTGTTTGGATCATAGGGGTGGTTCCCCCATGCTGTTCTTATAATAGCGAGTGAGTTCTCGCAAGATCTGCTGGTTTTATAAGGGGCTTTGCCCCATTTTACTCTGCATTTCTCTCTCCTGCCACCATGTGAAGGATGAGTTTTTTCACCTTCTTTCAAGATTGTTAAGTTTCCAGAGGCCTCCCCAGCCATGCAGAACAGTGAGTCAATTAAAACTCTTTGCTTTATAAACTGCGCCATCTTGGGTATTTTTTTCATAGCAGTGTGAGAATGAACTAATACATATCTATATTAAAATATTTTAAATTTTAAGTTGTTGATCTATTCAGCTGTATATATTGTTAAATAACTTTTGGATTTATGATTAATTGGTAACATCTGAAATGTAATTTTATTGCAATGCAGCTCAAGAATATGTCCTTTAAATATTGTTTTCAGTGAGCTGCCAGATTTGGTTTGAAAGTATTTTGTTGAAGATTTTTGCATCCATGTTCATCAAGGATATTTGCCTGGATTTTTCTTGTTGTTGTGTTTCTGCCAAGTTTTAGAATGATACTGGCCTCATAGAATGAGTTATGGTGGAGTTCTTCCTCCTTAGTTTTTGTAATAGTTTGAGTAGGAATGCTACCAGCTATTCCTTATATATTTGGTATAATTCAACTTGAATCCATCTGGTCTGGGCTTTTTCTGGTTGGTAGGCTTTTTATTACTAATTCAGTTTTGGAACTCTTACATAGACATCATGGAATACTACAAAACCATAAAAAAAATCATGTACTTTGTAGCAACATGGATGAAGCTAGAGGTCATCATCCTAAGTGAATTAACACAGGACAGGAAACCAAATCCCAATGTCCTCACTTGTAAGTGGGAGCTAAACTTTGAGTACACCCAGACACAAAGAAGGGAATAGTAGACACTGGGGCCTACTTGAGATTGGTGGGTGGGAAAAGGGTAATGATCTATCAGGTATATGCTTATTATCTGGGTGGTGAAATAATTTGTACACCAAACTCTTATGACACAATTTTTTATGTAACAAATTTGCACATGTATTCCTGAACCTAAAAGTTTAAATATATATATGTGTGTGTGTGTGTGTGTGTGTGTGTGTGTGTGTGTATGTGTATATATATATATATATATATATATAGTTTTCACTTTAATGTGGAATATCACTGCAGTCTTATTTCTTGAGTTTTATTGTTGAAAAAAATTATCTTCTTAAATTCAAATATTTAAATAGATAATTTCATGTATTTATGTATTTAAATAATTTATATCCATAAATTTCATGGATTATATTATTTAAATATTTATTCTTATGTACTGTAAATTACTTCTTTCAGAGTAATTTATTAGTCTTTTCAAATCATTGTTTATGTTGATCTTCTTCTACTCATTATATACTTTATCTTATTTAACTCCATGATTTATTACTAAAAGCCAAGAGCTTCATGACTATCATATAACTACTGAGGCTACAGACTAAACATTTTGTCTCATATAATTAGGTATCTTGAAATAATAGAACAGAATTTTTGTTCTGAACTTATATCTGAGGGATTTTCTTAAAAATCATGATATATAATACCAATTGTACAAACAGTTTGGTTAATTTTGTTGTGTGAATATCATTCATTTCTGGTTTTTATTATTACTATTGGCTTTATCTAATTATTATATTGAAGTTCACATTCAGTAAGTGTTTTTGACCCTGATGTTCAAAAGGAGATTGTTGCTATATTATTGTCATATTTCCCATTCAGCTTTCCAAGCATACAACCTCATTTTTCATAGTCATAATTTTGATTTAATAACATCACATAAAATATTTTTAAATGAACCTAAATTATGGATAAGGAGTCAGGAAAGAATAAAGAAAAGATCTATCAGTGGTAATCAGCCTTCTAAATAGCACTATTCATCATTTACCATTGTTCTCTCTCTGTGTTGTTTCTCAGTATAAAGCATATTTTATTGTGCAAAACATTTTTTAAAAAGTTATTTACTAGCCAGTCAAATCAATTTATTATTTATTTTTTATTTGATCAAATATCACTCTAAATTCAGAGAACTAATACTTTGAAAATATGGTTTGGACCCTATTCCCCACTTTCATCATAGCAATTACATCAACATAAACAACAATTAGATGGTTCAACATGCAGTAGATAAATTACTGACTTCCATTAAAGTCAGTTTATGACCCTCTTGAGCACGACATCTTTGCTGCAAACTACTGTGAGACCCAATTTGAGCCTTAGCATTTTCTACTTTAGTTGTACTGCACATTCCCCTAGGTAATTCTATCTGTGCTACTTACATAAATCAAGATAATTCTGTGATATGGGTGTATATAACAGTTTTTTTATGTGCTTATTACCTGGAGTCTGATGCTTCTGAA